GACGCTGGGTCGCCGGCGTCCGGAGGCGGCGGCGGCGAGCACATCGCGCGGCGACGGGGATTGGTGTGGTTGCGACGGCGGAGTGCCAGAAACCCGAGCTGCTCAGTCCCACTCTCCTGTACCCACTGAGATCTGGGCTGTTGGGCATTCAACGGGCCGGGCCATACCTAATCGACGGCGACGTATTATGGGCTGGGCCTACTCAAGCTTGCGCTGGTAACTACAGCCCATTGCTGTATTTTGTAAAGTATATAATATATTTTTATTTACTTTGCGCAAGGAGACTTACTAGATTTATAATTACCATGCTAGGCCGTGAAATTTGGGCAAAAACTTGGCAAATAAGAGCAAAACCACATGTGACTAGATAAATGACAGTCATGTTCCACCGAGACATCACAGGGATTTTATTCCAAAATATTTCAAAAACGCTGCATCAGTGACAGCGCGGAAATCAGTGTCACCAAGGCAGTATATTCTCGAATTAAACATCAGCTGATCAGCGGCAGAAGAGATGGCTTTCAATGTATTTGCGTCCAGTGCCAGCGCTAAAGCATTATTAGCACCATTTATCGAACAATAGTTTCCATTGTTTAAGGTTAGTTTTAACTCTCCACTGTTCAAGGAGTTTCAACATGTCTAGAAATGGGCTAGTAAAAATCACTCTTATAATCTAATATTTGCAGGCCCCTTGAGTCCAGATCAATGTGTCAGGACTCCAGAAGCCGTAAAGTTCACGCTATGATTTATGACTACACATGTATCGAGTACAAGAATATACAACATAAACAAAAGTAGCAAACGAGCCAGTGGCTCAGTGGTAGTACTTGCAGGGGCTGAGTCTGCCCGCAAGCGTTCGATCCCCGGCGATCGCAACGGCTGGTGTCGCATGGGGTATTTCTCCATATTTGTTTCGTACAGGTCCCGGACAATCGCGTGGCGCTACAATGGGACTATGACGTGCCCATCGTCTACGAGGCTCGTGTGGCTTCAGTGATCTCCAGAAGGACGTTTGAGGTGTATAGGTTGTAGCTTCTAGAGGTGTGCGTGTGTGTAGTGGTGTGAGTGTGTTGTGTAAAGTACAGATACTACAACTTGTACACTAGGAGTCCAGGCTAAAAAAAACATAAACAAAAGTAGTGCTTCCGAATTAAAAAAAAACACACACACAGGGCTTTCAGTAATAGGGGCATGCAATTATTCAGAGTCTAAACGCAAACGGCAATTGACTATTATTAGCACATTGGGTTATTACTTATCATCTGCTAGCTGCTTGTAGCGCATTAGGTGAGATTTTCAGGGACAATGTCCAATATTGTCGCTTTAAGTAAGATATGTGCATTTATTCAGAGTAACAATCAAATAGAAGTCGACTATTATTTTAATGCCCTGATACTGGTAGATGGTAGCGGTACATCAGGTGAGATTTTTCAAATTACTATCCAAGAGCAAGTAAAGTATGCAACATCCAAACTTAAATGGCAGGCAGTTGATTATTAGCGCACAGAACATCACCTAGCAGATGAATTTTTTGGGTCATGAACTCATGATTCCAGATCACGAACCACCCACCATCAAATATAAATTTGAGAAACTAGAAATTATACAGCAACAATAACAACATGCCTTTGGGCACTTGGTCCACAGTCGCTCGTCGCCCACTCGCTGGATGTGGACTCACTCTGCGGGTTGCAGCCCTGGCCGAGCAGCTAGCGTGCGCGCGGCGCGCTTGCTTGTGGCCACTGGCCCCGCATCCCTCACGCCTCCCAGGTCGCGCGACCACGTTGCACTGGCCTCGCCCTGCCACACACTTGCATCCGCCGATCTCCGCCACGCGCTTGGGTTTATCCTCCACGTCTCGGCATTTGTCGAATGTCGTTGGGAGCCAGCCGCCGCCACGCCAGGTTTAGGAATAGGGAAGCTGAGCACCTAAACAAGCCGCAACCGTTGGGACTAGTTAGTGTTGGGCCTTGGTCATTTCAGTTGGGCTTAGTAGTTGGTGGGCTTCACTTTCTACTGCACTTAATTGGAGCCCCTAAGCCCAAGATCTTTAACTACACGTCTTCTTCAACCTTCAGCCCCTCCTACAGAGCTTCAAACTCTCCTCACAAAGCTTCCTTGGCTAAAACTTTTTTTTGGGGGGGTGGGGGGTGGGGGGGAGGGGGGGTCTCCATGGGCATGGCAGCAGTAGGGGGCTGGGGCCCGGCCGTCACACCGCTGGCTCAGCCGTTGAAGAAAACACATATTTGTCTGCTCCAGCCCTTGAAGAAAACACACATTTGTCTGCTCTAGACTGTAGTACTCAACAAATGTTACCTACATCCTACAGGGTACACCAAAAAGTGTCACAAAAAAGGAGTTGTAGTTACCAATGTTACCTACATCCTACAGGGTACACCAAAAAGTGTCACAAAAAGGACTTGTAGTTGCAAAGGATACTTCAGGAAATAATAAAAGTTCCCATAGCATATCGCCAATTTCAGAAGTATGCAACAAATGTTAGGTTGACCACATGGTTCTAAAAAACCTAATTAAACTTAGGTTTACTCTCGATTAAACCTGAAACAGGCTCCTAGAGTCTCGTTTAGGGCCTGGGCGTCCAATAAAACTCTGGACACGTCTAGGCGGTGCAAGTAGGTGTGAGGCAGTGCTTAAGTAGTGCAGAAACACAAAAGCGACGACCTGGCTGGCATGGTAGGCTATGTGTGACCGCGCGGGCTGGTGGGTAGGAAAAAAGTACGCTGAAGAGTCAAAGAAAAGGCGCGCGGGGATCAAAATTGCAAGTCCCTTCACTTCTTTGCATGTTTGCAAGAATTGGAATCAAAATTGCCTGAATGTGTTACAATTTCTTCTAAGATCAAAGTTGGGTATCTGACGGGTGGGCTTGGTGCAAGCGGTAGAGTCTTACCGTCTGTGACCGGAAGGTCCCGGGTTCGAGTCACGGTCTCCTCGCATTGCACAGGCGAGGGTAAGGCTTGCCACTGACAACCCTCCCCAGACCCCGCACAGAGCGGGAGCTCTCTGCATTGGGTACGCCCATTTTATCAAAGTTGGGTATCTAATCTGAGCCATATGTGTCGCCAGAAAAAACTAAAAATTAAAACAATAAAAAAGCACAAACACTTAAGCCTTTTTATCAAAGTTGGCTGATGTAATACCTGTCAGAGTCGAGCAAGGGATTGGGATTGTCTTTTCATGCTGCCACTCTTCTGCACTAACGCCATTGTCTTGCCAAGCCTTACAGTAAAGGTCTAACATGCCATCACCAATGGTTAAGAAACCAAGCCTCCCTTCCCCTGCCTCCACAATGGCGTGCAGTCACAAGTGGCGGACACGAGGGGTACGTACCACGGAGAATACAATCTTGTGTGTGTCAAGCATGAGTACCTCACTGAACAACCCAGATGTCTTGTAGAGGCTTCTGTGCGGGTGGTAGCGGCAAGTTGTGAACATGACAGTACAATATCCATTCCAACCATTGAATGTGACTCTACGCCATTGCCCGGTCGCTGAAGAGAAAATGAAGGCAGTCGCCTTCCTTTTCCCAGGAGTCATCAGACCACTCGAAACGACGATCCCTCCTCCTCGCCGGTTGGAGCAAGGAATCTCTGGACTCCGTAGGCGCCGGACGTACCGGCTGTTAGGTCGGCGGCGAGGACATCGCGCAGAAACCTGGGCTGTTGGGCATTTAACGGGCCGGACCATACCTAATCGACACGGCCATGTAATATGGGCTGGGCCTACTCAAGCTTGAGCTAGCTGGTAACTACAGCCCATCTCTGTATTTTGTGCAGTATGTATACTTCTTTCTTTGAGGGGCAGTATATATACTTTTTACTTTGCGCTGGTAATTAATTACCACCATTCTAGGCCGTGAAATTTGGGCAAAAACTTGGCAAATACTATGAGCAAAACCACATGATACTTGATGATTGACAGTCATGTTCCACCGAGACAGAGCTCATGATTTTTGCAAGTATAATATCAATTTTTGCTAATATACCAAACATCTTGTACTTTACATGGCATCGCTCTGGTCACCTGCAGAGAGGTGAGGTCGTGAGGACCTGAAGTGCACAAACATTGGTACAAACTACTAACAGCTTGAACACACAACATTCACGTCCGAGAACCTGAACGGAGTTGTCTCCTCTGATGACCCTGAGAGTCCAGAGCTCGTGATCAATGTGTCAGGAGTGTAGACATACCAAAGATTGTTCGCGGCTGATCCAACATGGGCTCACCTTCATTGCCGACAAATAAAGCTTCACTTCATTAGCATATTAGAATATGCATGTATGTGTGTAGTATAGCATCGCAGCCGACTGAGGCCATGTTTAGATTGTGGTTAGGAATAAGTATTTGGCACTGTAGTACTTTCGTTTGTATTTAACAATTATTGTCCAATCATGGCCTAACTAGGCTCAAAAGATTTGTCTCGTAATTTACAATCAAACTGTATAATTAGTTATTTTTTCATCTACATTTAATACTACATGTATATGTCAAAAGATTTGATGTGATGAAAAGAGAGTGAAAAAACTTACAATCTAAACAAGGGCTGACTACATTAGCAGACGGACAAAATTCTGTCCAATGCTCCGCAACCACAGGTAATTATAACAGGCTATGGAGTACACAAATGCCACTCCATAAATAATGCAACCTACAGACTACCCACAAAAGCAACTGACTAACAGAAAGTTGAAAAGGTCAGTTACATTTCCCAGACATGATTAGTAAAAGTTCACCAGTGCGCATATATGACTTCAGGTACAATTAAGCTCTCCACAGGTTAGAAGTTGAGAGTGGGGGCTAAGATACCATCTACAATTGCAAGGCCAAAAGTTACCAAATTCTCTTGGGGATTTATATCAAGGGAACATGGTTCCATGTATCGCCAACACAGACTCTTACGATGACTGGGACTACTTTTACACTTTTGTCCTGTTTGAACTTATCAGCCTTGGCTTCACAATCAAATCAGCGAACATTACTATTTAGCCTGGCTTTTTAGCGCGGCGGAAGGCGGTGCAGGCGGCGGACGCGCGGGCGATGTCTTCCATGGCGTCGAGGCGGAGGAAGATCTCCTCAAGGATCTCGTCGGGGAAGACAGGCTGCGACGCTGGGTCACCGGCGTCCGGATGCGCAGGTGGGTCCCTGGCGTCCGGAGGCGACGTTGGGTCGCCGGCGTCCGGATGCGCAGGTGGCGAGGACATCGCGCGGCGACGGGGATTGGTGTGGTTGCGACGGCGGAGTGCCAGAAACCCGAGCTGCTCAGTCCCATTCTCCTATACCCGCTGAGCTGGGCGTTTAACGGGCCGGGCCATAGCTAATCCACGGCCACGTCCTACTCAATCTTGAGCTGGGCCGGGCCATATTTTGTTCGGTGGATCTGTTCGACGGCGAAGTGGAGTGGACTGTGGACGTGCTGCTACGGCTGGACCCGACCAGTTAGGCTAACGCAATGTGGGGCTGTGGGCTGGGCCGGCCCTTTTCGAGTGAATTGTACATTTATACTTACACCAGATATAAAAATAAAATATACCTTCAAAAAGAAAAAAGATAAAACATGGCTTTTCACTTTACACCAGCATATTTGTGGCAAACAAAAATCAGTGGCACGTTATAACCTACTAGCAAATATACTGTAAATGCGTTGCAACAGAAGAACATAAGCTATTGCATATATATAGGAATGATGAGAAAATAAGCTATCGAATATTCGTGGAAAATGAGAATAAAGAATGCTATATAGGTATTTATATTTATCCTTCTATAAAATTTTTAAACTAATTTATTTTACAATGATCATGACATCCATGATATATAATATAATAATTTAGTATTGATAATATTTGATATCTGTAAAAATCTATAATTTTTTTTTTACATACCAAATTGCATGCACAGAGTATTCTTTCAGAGTAGCCATTGCAGATGTCTTCTCATTGGATCAGTTTATGAATTGATCAGACAGGGACAGCCACTCTGCCACTGGAACTTGCTCATCTCTGGGATACTGCAGGAAACCAAACTAGCTAGTGTCGTTTCAGATTTCATATCCTCGTCGTAAAAATCAAAATTTGCTTTCTTTTGTCTCAATCCAAACTTTCAAACTGCATTACCTGGTTGTTGAAAAAGCTCAGCATTTGGTCCAACCTGACGAACGGAGATAACACAAATCCAACCTGCACTACCAAGTTCCATATCTCTTCTAGTTCAATGGACTTTTGTAACTCTCGTCAATAATATTGATGTTAGAAAAAATAGTCACATCCATATTGTCTCTTTGAACATGGGAACCCGACGAACATCCACATCCTAGAGTGACACTGAATTGTTAGTTTGTTACCATCCATCTAGATTAGTCACAAAATCAACTGTACAATCCATCTTTAGAGCCCCCTTCAACAGGGGTAAGAAATCAGCAATACTCTCTGAATGCCATCAAACAGGTAAGAAGAGTCTCTGAAGATAGATGCCCTGTATTTTTGCATCATATGGATCGTAGCAATCGAGGGGTGGGGGGGTACACAGGTACGTACCTGGCTGATGTGTGCGCACTGGACGGCGATGGCGAGCGGCACGATGAGGAAGATCACGACAAGCTTGGCGGCAAAGAAGATTGTCTGCAGGTTGGCGAGGACAGGGCACCTTGAGCACCAGCGACCCGTCCAGCTTCTTTGCCGGTCGGCCTCCACGGCAGCACGCAACGATGGTCGTCAATAGGAATCAACTCTACGGGAGGAGATTGACGGCGAAACTGTGGGTTCTGTGAAATCGACTAAGACAAGGATCTTTAATATATAGATAAGATATAGGAATGAAAAGGAAGGACTTTTTGTCGAAAAAATACCACGAGATTTTCTGATCTGATATGTTTTCGTTTTCGATTCCGATTCGCACTTGCCATGGAATACGACCGCATCGACGGCGACGGCGGCGGGAGAAACTTCTGCAATGGCTGCTGTACGTAGGGGATTTTGGGGCGCGACACTGCGTCCGACTCGGAGCGAAGAACGAGCGAGACTCGAAGCGGCGCGCGGCGTTTGGGAACGGCGGCACTGGATGGGGGAGGGATTTTTGGGGCGATGGCGTCTGGGAACGGCGGTGCTGCGTGTGGACGGCGGAGGGATTTTTGGAGCGGGACACTGCGTTGGACACGAGCGAAGAACGAGAGAGACTCGGAGCGGCGCGGTGCGGATGGCGGCGCTACATGCGGATCCATCAGAAAGAGGAAAGTCGACTCCGATCAGAAAGAAGGAAAGCCCAACACGAGTCAGGCCGAACCAAGTGGATGATTGGTCTGGACGAAAATCTAAAGTTGGCATTTAGCCTCTTTATTATTTGGGACAGATATGGACCGTCTGGTCAAGTACACGTACATCCCTTCTCTTCATAAGTCCCTGTTTCAACATTGATAATGATAGGATGAGCACGTCCAGACGGACGGACAAACGGACCTTGATGTGTCCGCGCCTGTATGTCTTAAAAAATATCAGCCACGCTCTCTCTCTCGTGCCTTCCTGCCTTCGCTTCTCTCTCACGTGCCTCCAGCGCCCCTCTCTCTCTCTCTCTCTCTCTCTCTCTGCGGTGCGGGTGAGCGTCCCGGTGCGGTGGCGCAGGGGCCTCGGCGTGGCCTCGCACGAGCGGGTTACGACGCGGAGGCCCGAACGGTCCTTGACATGGCGCTGCGCCCCGGTCATGGGCGGACCAGCGTGGCAGGCCCGGCACAAGTGGTTCCACGGCGGATCTGGTTTCATGTCAGATATTTATAGAGGTATGTTGTAAGTCTTCTTCATATGGATGTTGCAAAAGTAGATCGATCTGGTGCACGCACATGTTGCATGTGTTGCAAGTGTTTCAGATGAATGTTTTAAGCGTTTGTTTAAATGTTTCATCTAGACGTATGTTGCATATGTTTCACACATATGTTGCAAGAGTATGTTCTAAATGTTTCATCTGTTTTTAATCTTATGTTGCAGCAAGTGTTTTCATGTTGCAAGTTACAATTGTTTTATCTAGTTGTTGCATCTATTTCATTTGTTTCCAGTCTTATGTTGCAAAAAAAAATGTTTTCATGTTGCAAGTTACAAGTGTTTTATGTGGATGTTGCATATGTTGCGGTGATTATACACGTACGTTGTAAGTGTATGTTTCAAGTGTTTCAGCTGTTTCAGACATATGTTGCAAGTATTTATATGGATGTTGCATATATTGCAGTGGCTATACACATATGTTATAAGCTTATGTTTCAAATATTTTACCTGTTTTAGACGTATTTTGCAGCAAATGCTTCGTGTTGCGAATGTTTTCGTTAGCCGCGAGGGAAGCGAGCGCAGGCGATACCCACATCAGGCATGGGCGTGTAGCAGCATGGAGCGCAGCAGCCGCGCACAGCAGCAGAGAGGAGTGGACTTGATCTAAATACGAGAATGAGATAAATCAGAGACAGGGAAGGTAATTTTTTTGAATGTCAAAACTTTTTCTCTCTCTCAAACATATACCAAATACGAAGCATTTTACATGGCATCAGGGTTTCCAATTTTGGTTTTTTTTTTGCCACCTTTAAAATTATAATTACTGAAATTTCTCAAAATTTTACAGAAGTTTCAAACCCTTCGTGGCATCGCTCAAGATACCTGCAGAAGGTTCATTCATATGTGAGGGCACCTGAATGGTCGAGTCCTGATCAATATGTTAGGAGCGCAGACATACAAATTGATTGTTCGCAGCTAGTCATAGCCAACAAATGAAACCTCACTTCCTTGAGGATATACTAGCTCTGTCCTAAAAATATATATATAATTCTACCTTTCTCCTAATTTAAACCATTAAAGTTTGACAAAATTTATACTCCTGAAGTAAATTATTTGGTGTTGTAAAATCTATATGTCGGATACCATAAAAAGGGGTACCCTAAGCAAGAACCGAAAAAATTGTTTAGACCTTGTAAATATCAAAGCCAAGAGACAACCATGAGGTCTCGGCCGATTATCCGATTCGCCCGAGGCCCACGCCGCAAGGCCTCGGATGAGGTACCAACTCTCCGCCTCGCCCGAGGCCTCGGACGAGGTACCGATTCTCCGTCTCGCCCGAGGCCCCGCCTGAAAGGCCTCGGACGAGGTACCGATTCTCCGATTAGCCCGAGGCCCCACGCCACGAGGCCTCGGACGAACTCTCAGTTACCGACTCGCTCGAGGCCGGCTCGGCATCGACCCCATCACCACCGCCTTGACCAATTTCCCTGGCAGGATGTCCCATCCAACCAACACGTCCAACCACTCCCGCAGCGTAAGCCGCACATCGGCGCAGTACAGCAGAGTGGCCGACGGGGCGGGAGTCACATCGGCGCCATGTAGTCCGGGACAGGACGGGGTAGGGGTTACCGGCCGCCGTGCTCGGCACTGTGCCCACGACTGACACCCATGCGGCACTGTGCTGCCTAACCCCACCTGCTCAAGGACAGCGCAGCGTGGAGAGTCAAGTCCAGGTCCCTGTAGCCTCGGAATCCACGAACAAGACCAACTGCTCCCTCCGAGCCTCGCCCATTCGTTTCCGGGCTCCTGTAGCCTCGGGACTCGCGCCCGTCGAGCCCCCCACGACGGTTCGGCCTCTGCATCGACTGGGCCTCGGTTCCCTACGTTGTCAACACTCTGGCCTCGGCACGTCGCCCGCAGAACGCGCCATACCCCGCGTCAGGCTGCAGGAGCTCGCACGTTGCGCACAGGGCTGAGCTCCTGTGTCCTCGGAGTCAGCACACCCGCGCCATCGCATCAACCCGGCCTTGGCACTCCACGCCGGTCAAACATACAGCAACCAACACGCATCCAACAGAAGAAGGTGCGCCTGCCACCACAGGAGCTCCCACGTCGCACAGGGCCAGGCGTGACCGGCGCGTCGCTCCAGTGTACCAAGGACAGGACCGCTCCATCGACCATACCGCCACAGTAACGAGTTGCAGGGCTCGGATATACCGCCTCCGCTCACAAAACACCACACAGCGAACGCATGTACCGCCCCTGTCCTCTCCTTCTACTATAAAAGGGGTGACCAGGGCCGTTTCTAGGAGAACGGACACACCCAACACACTCACGGAGACACCGCTCAGATAGACACACGCGCGCAAGCAACGAACAACACTCTGTAATACGCACGCTCCCTCACTGCAAGAGATCAACATCTCAAGCAACCCACGCCGCTCTACGCAGAGACC